CACATGTTGGGTGGACAGTGCCCAGGACCTTGGCTGCCACGCTGCAGAGCAGGACAGGGGCAGCTTTCGTCCAGGGAAGAACAAGACTGACTATGGCTAGAGGCCAGTGAGTGACTGAGAAAAGGAACACAAGGCCAGCAGCGAGGAAGCTTTAAATAACTCTAGGAGGGCCCTACATCACACTGGCATGGGGCAGGGAGCTGGGCAGCTGTGTGCGTGACTAGTGGAGGCAGCTGAAGGCTGAGTGCCAGTCCATTTGGGGGCTTCTCTGTGGTTCTGGTAGAAGATGGACTCTGTGCCCATATTCTAGTGTCCAGAGTGGCTGTTTCTGGCCAGCCGGCTTCCTCTGGGAAGTAGTGGGAAGAGGCTGGGCTCCTAGGTGGCTGCAGTAGCTCTCCAGGCTCCGACAATGCCCCAGGTTAGGGACAGAACAGCTGGAGTCTGCAGAGGTGCCAGCCCACAGAGAAAGCCAGCGGTTCCAAGAGGTCTTGGCCAGCCTGCTAGAGGTACCACAGCTCACACTGTGTTCTTAGTATGAAAGGAAATGTGAGTTCTTCGATCTCTGTGTGGATGCATGCTTAACTTTGTGGGCAAGTCTGAGTGTGTGTGTAGTTGTGCGCAGTTCCTCTGTCGCTGCCTATTTGGGCTTTGGGACACACAGAGCTCCACGAGTTTAACCTCTTAGCTATGGCTTGTGGAAGCATGAGAAGTCGTTACCCGTTTGTCTCCCAGAATGACAGTCCCCCGTGTATGGAGGAAGAGTTGGGGACAACTCTCTGTGAAGAGTCTCATAATCTCAAGAGGTGATTGGAAGTTTCTATCCAGGAGCTCAGCAACACCACCCCACTTCTAATAGAGGGTCCCCAGTCCAAGAGAGCCTGTGTGTAGCTCCCCCTGCAGGCCTGTGGAGCTTTCAGTCTGGAATGGCTTCTAGCTAGGTTTGTAAACCTGTTCTAGTCAACATGTCTGATGCATGTCCCTCTTGCTCAGAGCACTATGTTTATCATATAGCAAGTACTCGCGCACACCTATATCTGGTGTCATGTAGAGGAGAGAATGCCTTCTCTCAGTAAGCAACTCTTATTCACTGTCGGGGGAGGTGCAAATTAATATAACCATTATAGAAATCTGTTTGGGGATTCTCAAACAATTAAAACTAGAACTATCATATGACTCCACTGTTTCTCTCATGGACCATGGACATATACCCAGAGAACTCCAAACTACCATGAGGATATTTGCACCCCAGACGTTTATTGCTGCTTAATCACTATAGCAAAGAATTATTAGCCTAATTGTCTATCAACAGATGAATGGATAATGAAATTTTTGTGTGTATATAGAAAATGGAATACTATTCACCTCTGTTTTGGGTTTTTTTTTCTGCCTTTTTAGTCAATATGATCTGATTGATCATTTCAAGATCCATTTGTGTGATTTGTCCTCTCAATCTGAGGCCCCTGGTCCAGACCTGCAGCGGATGCCTGCAGTCAGGGATAGCACCAAAATCTAGACTGTTGTTTTTCCTGTATATGCACACCTGTGATAAAGCTTCATATACATTAGACACAGTAAGATTTAATGGCCATCCAAACAGAACAGCTCCAGCATAGCTGTGGTGGTTTACGTCTCTCTCATTGATAAGTTTTCTTTTTGAGCTGTTGGGCTACATGTTTTCATAGCTGGGTGATAACAAAGCTAGTGTGAGTGTCTTCTCTCCTCCTCCTTCTGAGTTCCACCGTGGATTTTTTCTTACCAGTCTTTACAACTTCAGCATGTGATTGCTCTTTCCTTTTATTAAGTTGAGAGTTTTCTCTTACTCTGTGGCTTCCCTTGGGCAGATTGCCAGTTTCACCACTCAATTTCAGAGCCACCGTTAGGTAAAACAAGAGTGACTTTAGCCACAAGCGTTGTGACGTTGAACCTGGCAACTGTCTGTCTGATCTCCAGGCAACCACTGAGAGACTATTCTGTGATATATATATATATATATATATATATACACACAACATGGATACTTTGCACAATGGTTAGGTATGTCTATGTAAGGAACAGCACAAGACAGTGTGAGATTTCACCACACTGCTCAGAACAATATGCAATTTAAAAACTTGGTTTTTTTTTTTGTGTGTGTGGAATTTCCCTTGTGTATGTGGTGCTGGGGTTGGAAACTATGGCCTCTCAAATGCTAGCCAAGCAGCCTTCCACGAGCTCTCTCTCTAGGCCCCCAAATGTTCCATTTAATGTTTTCAAATTGTGACAAGCTATGGGTAACTGAAGCCTCTGATAAGGCCCTGTGTTGCCAAACTGACTCTCACATGATGGACATTTTCCTTCCACCCTCCTCCTGTGCAAGGCTGGGTTTTCTTCACTCTCCTGACTGGTCCCGTGCTTGCATGAGATAGCACCCTATTGGTTTGCGTTGCACTCTGACACGTGGTACTGAACACCAGGCTGTGTACTTCGGAACCCTAGTGTATTACCCAGGATTCTCTAGAAAAACACAAGTGACAGAGTGAGTCTCTCTCTATTAAAATGGGATTTATTAGAGTGGCTTACAGGCTATGGTCTGGCTAGTACAGTGACTGTCTTCCAACAGAAAGTCCAAGAATCCAATAGTTGGCTGGATGTCTCAGCTGGTCTTCAGTATACATAAGAATCCCAAAGAAGTCAGCTCTAACCCCAGTGAAGAAATGGACTTGCCAACGAGAGAACAAGCAGGCAAAAAAGTGAAGCTTTCTTCCGTGTCCTTTATATAGGCTGCCACCAGGTGAAGCCCAGATTTAAGTGTGTTTTCTGACCTTAAATGAGCCAATCAAGAAAAATCCCAGGCCATGGTGGCATACACCATTAATCTCATCACCCAGGGAGCAGAGGCAGGCAGATTTCTGTGCATTCTAGGACAGCTTGGTCTACACAGTGAGTTCCAGGACAGCCAGGGCTATGCAGAGAGACTTTGTCTTACAAAAAAAAAAAAAAAAAAAAAAAGCCAGGCAGTCGTGGTGCGTGCCTTTTATCCCAGCACTCAGGAGGCAGATAGATCTCTGAGTTCAAGGCCAGCCTGCTATACAGAGCAAATTCCAGGGCAGGCAGCCAGGGGTACACAGAGGAACCCTGACTTGAAAAACAAATAAAAAAATTCCCTCACAGGTGTATCCAGCAGATTCAGCTTTAGTTAATTCCAGATATAGCCAAGTTGATAACCAAGAAGAGCTGTCCTATTTGGTCTAGAACTCAAAGCAATCTTCCTGCCTCAGTCTTCCAAGTACAGGCATTACAGGTGTGTAGTGAGTTCTGGTTTAAAAATCTTTTATTACCTTTTATGTTTTTATTTTCAATATTAATTTATAGTGTTAAAGATTTAATTTTTCTTGTGCTGAGATAGGGCCTCATGTAGCCCAGGTTAGCCTTGAACTGTCTGTGTGTGAGAGAGGTCTCATGTAGCCCAGGCTAGCCTTGAACTGTCTGAGGCTAAGGCTGAACCTGAAGCTTCTGCTTCTCGGTTTCTACCTCTGGAGTGATCGGGATTCTGTTATAGGCCTGTGCACCTTCACCATCTCATTCCAGCCAGGACTGGGGCTTGATCCCAGGTTCCGTTGGCATGCCAACCTGGTTCTCTACCCACTGAGCTACATCTGTAGCACATTATATTTTATTTTATTTATCTGTTTTTTTTAAGTCTCTCATGTCTCGTGTAGCCCAAGCTAGCCTCTATGACCTTGAATTTTTTAATCTTCCTGCTTCCCCCTCCCTGATGCTAGAATTACAGAGTACACAACTATTCCCAGTTTATGTGGTACTAGGGATAAGATCCTAGGGCTCTGTGCATGCTAAGCAAGCACTCTACCAACTGAGCTACAGCCCTAGCTCCTATTTATTTTTATTACATTTTAGTATGTATTTAACGTGCTGTGTGATATTTCAGTATAGGATCATATTAAAAATGATCCAATCAGGGTTCTTAGCATGCTCATTGAGAATGTTCAGAATCCCTTTTAAGCTATATTTTTAAAATACAATCCATTTTCCACTGCCCTCATACTACTGGTCAGCAGCATACCAGAGCCTTTTCCTCCTCTTTAACTGGAATTTGGACCCAGTGATCAGCCTCTCCCCTTCCTGGCCTCTGGTAGCTAGCCTACTCTGCTTCCTGCTGTGAAATGAAGGCTTTTAGATTCCACACCTGTCTTTCCGTGTCTGGCTCATTCACTTCATATAATGTTCTCTGGGTTTGTCAGTCTTGTTGCAAGTGGCAGAATCTCATTTGTGACTAAATAACATCTCATTGTGCACACTATGGAGCTATCATAAGCTATCACTACAAAAACCATCCAGTGCTGGCATAAAACGACAGACACAGGAAGTAAAGCCACATATTTACACCAAATTGTTTTTCAGCAAAATGTATGAAGAACATACATTCGAGAAAGAACAATCCCTTTGATAAATGGTGCTAGGAAGTTGGATATCAATATCCACTCATGGAAGAATGGAACCAGACCCTTACCTTCTACACACAAACACCAACTCAGTGTAAGACCTGAAATTACCGTAAAACAAACAAAACAAAAAACAAAACTAAGGGCTGGGCCTGGTGATGATGCCTTTGATGCCTTTAATCCCAGCACTTAGAAGGCAGAGGCAAGCATATCTCTGTGAGTTTGAGGCCAGTCTGGTCTACTTAGAGCATTTCAGGCCAGCCAAAGCGCTATAGTAAAACCCTACCTTAACATAACCCTGACGCAGGCATGTATGCACTTACACACACACACACACACACACACACACACACACACACACACACACACACACACACACACACACACAGTTTGGGGCATTGGTGATTAGGGCCAATATTCTTCAGAAGACCCCTAGAAGCACAATGGTAGATCCTGTGTGTACTGAGTTCTCCTTTCTCAGGCCTGGTTTTTGGATTCCTGCCTTTTGGACTGCAGCTCTCCTCACCTGGCCTCCATAACCCTCATCTCCTTCCTCTGCAGCCACCCGGGAGTCAGCCTTTGTCCACGCCATTGCCTCTGCTGGAGTGGCCTTTGCAGTGACGCGCTCCTGTGCAGAAGGCTCAGCCGCCATCTGTGGGTGCAGCAGCCGCCTCCAGGGCTCCCCGGGAGAGGGCTGGAAGTGGGGCGGCTGCAGTGAGGACATTGAATTTGGCGGAATGGTGTCTCGGGAGTTTGCTGATGCCAGGGAGAACCGGCCAGATGCCCGCTCTGCCATGAACCGTCACAACAACGAGGCTGGGCGCCAGGTATGTACACAGAACCCCAGGGTTCCAAAGCAGGAGCTGCTTTTTCACTGGGGTGCCCAGAGGGGCAGAACAGGGTAGAGGAGGGCTGCTTTTGGTGACCAGGCTGCAGGGCTGCTTTCCTTCTACCAAGGGACCCCGTGACACTACTCAGCTGTACCTCAAGTGTCCACTGTGTTCCCAGAGGATGCCAAGCTCACCTGTGGACTTAGGGTCCCTGGGAAGGAGACAAGTGAAGGGAGGTAGCCATAGGGCATGTAGTGTCCGAGGGTTCTGGATACATAAAAGGACAAGGCATGAAAGGTAAAAAAAAATAGAGGGGAGAAGCAGATGAATGGATGGGTTGATATAGTAGATATAGATTGAATTGAGATAGAGAATTATAGTGCAGAGACGATACAGGCTATTGGCTATTGAGACAGATAGAGGGAGGGAGAGAGGGAGACAGAGAGAGAGAGAGAAAATATGTTATCAAAGGAATGTGAGAATCTGGAACAGAACAGGGAAATATAACAGAGCATTGTTGAAGATCTCTTCCTCTGGCTATACCTAGGTATAGCCTTTTATTTATCTTCTTCTGGGTATCCCTGGACTTCAGGGGCTGATGCTGAGATTTCAGGAGAAGGGGAAGGTCTGAACTTTCATACATAGACAAGTTTCACTGCAGCTGCTTATCCTCAGACATGCTTAGTGCCCCTCACATACAGCCCGGCTTCCCTCCTCAGAGCACGAGTGTCCAGATAGGTAGTGCTCAGCGGTATAGCAGAGCCAAGAACTGAGTCATCCACTGAAGAGGGACCTCGCACCACCCAGGAATGGCTGTCAGCTATCTTGAGAAACAGAGCTGACGATGGAGGTGAAAACAGAGACATTTCTTGAAAGTGTATTTTACAGGCGTTTTAAACTGGGTATGGTGGTGCAGGCCTGTAATCCCAACACTCAGTGGAGGCAAGACAGGAGGATTAGACATTCAAGGTCAACTTCTATTGCATAATGTTTAAGGCCAGCCTTGTACATGAGACCCTGTCTCCAAAAGCAAGCAAGTCAGCGAGCAAGTATTTCATAATTGCTGGCTCCTCTGCACAGCTCCTGTGGCCAGGCACCTGCCTGCCCTTCACTGTAGCAGACATTTGGAGATGCCAAGCATGCCTGAGGACAAGTTATCACAGTGAAACTTAACTCTGTACATCAGTAACTTCAGATCCTCAGACCTTCCACCTCTTCCTAACGCTCAACACTAGCTCCAATCCACTTATCCTTCAGACAAAGGATAGGATATTCTCCTCTAGGGAACCCAGCTCTCCCAGAATGAATGGAGGGGGTTTCTCGAACATGGCGGTTGGATCACTTTAGGGTGAGTGTTGGTGCAAGTCTTTAATCTTAGCACTGGGGAGGCAGAGGTAGATGGATCTCTGTGTATTTGAGGCCAGCCTGGCCTACGTAGAGAGTTCCAGGACAGCTGGGACTACATATAGAGACCCTGACCCCAACCCCACCAAAAAACAAAACCAAACAAACAAAAAAATAAAAACACATAAATTTTCCAGGAAGCACACAATAAAACAAACACAAACCTAAAGTTGAACTAGATATGATGGTTCAGGCCAGCAATCCCAGCACTTGGGAGGTTGAGGCAGGAGGGTCATGAGTTTGAGCCTGGGCTATATTGTGAGTCTGAGGCCAGATTGGGTTACACAGTGAGACCTTGTCTCAAAAAAAAAAAAAAAATCCTTTTATTTAAAAAACAAACAGAATTTGCATAAAATATGCACTTTAAGAAAAAAAACTTCACAAAAACTATCAGTCTCCCCAAAGAGATCAAACACTGTCCCTGTGACATTGGAGCAATGTGTTAATTTTAAAAATGAGTGAGAAAGAAGAGCTCATAGAAAATATGGGGCCTACAAGACGGCACATAGGATAAGCGCACTTGCCTCCAAGGCTGACAACCTGAGTTGGATCCCTACAACCCACAAAGTAGAAGGAAGAACAAACTTCTCCTGCAAGTTGACCTCTGACCTTCACACCCTGTGACATGCATGTGTGCATTTACATATGGACATAATAAATGAATACATGGCGGAGGTTTTGTTTGTTTGTTTTTGACACAGGGTCTCTCTCTGTATCCTGGTGGTCCTGAAACTTACTTTGTAGACCAGGCTGGCTTTGAAACTCAGAGATCTGCCTGCTTCTGCTCTGGAATGCTGGGATTTAAGGTATGTGCCACCATGCCTGGCCTTAAGTACTTTAAAAAAAATTTGCTGGGTGGTGATGGCGCACGCCTTTAATCCCTGCACTTGGCAGAGGCAGGTGGATCTCTGTGAGTTTAAGGCCAGCCTCCTCTACAAAGCGTGTTCTAGGACAGCCAGGACAGTGACATTGTTATACTCTGTCTCAAAAGAAAACAAAAAACCAAATAATAATAATGTAAAAAAACAAAAGCAAACATTTCATCCAGAGTTTTGTGGGGTATGTTCACGGGAGACAAGGGATGCTAGCAGAGACAGGCCCTGCTTCAAGGATGAAGAAAGACGGACAGAGAACGTTCAGGGGTCAAGAGCCCTTGATGCACTTTTTAGAGCAGTGGTTCTCAAGGTGTGGATTGTGATCCCTTGGGGGTGGAATGACCCTTTTCACAAGAGTCACCTACGGCCAGCTGCATACCAGATACTTACATTATGATTCATAACAGTGGCAAAATTGCAGTTATGAAGTAGCAACGAAAGTAATGTTATGGCTGGGGAGGGGAGGTCCCCACAACATGAGGAACTGTGTTAAAGGGTCACAGCATTTAGGAAGGTTGAGAACCACTGGTTTAGAGGGCTAGCATTTGGCTCTCAGCACCTACACAGGGTGGCTCATAACTGGCTGTAAGTCCAGCTCCAAGCTACTTGCTGCCCTTTTCTGGTACCTGAACACATGCAAACACCCAAACACACACACACACACACACACACACACACACACACACACACACACACACACACCATTTTTAACCTTAAAAAAAATGGGAAAGCCCCCTTGCCCGAGACGTTATGAAATTCAGAGCCTGTAACCTAGAGAAACCCTCCAAGCTTCAAAGAGAATCCTTGGCATTCCTGCAAACGATGGGGTATCAAAAAGGCATCGCTGGAAGCTAGAGGAAAATAGAGCAACACTTTCAGGATTCTGAGTGACGAAATGATTTTAAATCAGGAATTTCGTTCCCAGCTACTCTATGAAAAGGGAGTAGTACAGTAGAAAAGATTTGTCTTCAGACAGCACCATTTCACAAAATTTATGGGATGGCAAAAAGATGTCTTGAAGGTGAAATGAGTAAATATCTTTAGGCATTGTTTTAATATATATATATATATATATATATATATATATATATATATAT